GGGCCACCAGTCGGCACGCTGCGGGAAGGGGGCAGCAGGAGCCTGGTGGTCTGCATCGAGTGAGTCCCACCCTCCCCGGCCGTGCTTCCAGCGGGGGGTTAAGAGATCCTACAGAACAACCTTCACTCTCCCGCCATTGGTTTTTCCTTTACGAGTGTTCACCACAGAACTTAGTTCTGCTCGTGAAGGTGGATGCAGCCGCCACGTCCCAGTTCCTTTGAACTGTTCACAGTAACAGCAGCTTCGGAAGTCCTGTCTGCTGACGGCAGCTCCCTTTGTGCAGGAATAAAGGAGATGTCCCGCAGAAGCTGGTCAGCTGCAAGCTGGCCGGCTGGGACAGAACCAGACAGTTCCGGTTCCACTTGCTGCAGGGGACCCAGCATGGCCCCCCAGCACCTGCTCCCGACCCTGAGACGCGGGAGAGCTGCCCAGACAAAACCTACCAGACGGCGGACAGCAGCGTGGCCCACAGCAGAGCAGTCTCTCCAGGTGGACGGGGCCCCGGCCGGTCGGGGGACCCAGGGGCCTCGATGCCGTGGGCTCTGGTTCAAGTTCTCTGGCGATTCGGGGCTGGGGACAGGGACCAAGGCAGTTGGCGACCCTGGAAGTGCATTGGACATGCTGCTTCCTGCAGACACTTCCAAACGCGGGAGGCTGCCTGCTGTCGGCTTTCTGTCCCCTGTTGGGTGATAGGCTGTGCGTGCGTGCTGGAGTCCACAGGCCGCCACCACTGCCACCAGCAGCTGACCGCTGGGTCTCCTGTCCCCTCGCAGATGACTGTGCCTGCAAAGGAGAAGAGGGAGGAAGCGGACAGGGCGGCTGGAGGAGGCAGGTCCCGGAGCCTGAGCCCAGTGGGCTCATCCCTCCCGGAGGACGAGCCCTGATTGTGGTCACGTGTGAGGCCAAGTACGTGCTGCCGGGCTTTCAGGGGTTTGACGGGGACGTTGGCACATGTATCTCGCAGGTCCCGTGTGTGGTCCCTATAAACAGCATTTGTAGCTCTTTCGATGGGACAGGCTCAAAGGAAAATGCGTTGGTGGAGACGGTGGCTTGAGTGAGTTCCGCTGTGAGGCCATGACCCCCTTCCCTGACTTCTGAGAGAGAGGACAGCTGGGCGCCCTCAGCCTGGGCCGCCGCCTCTTCTCCTTCCAACATGTCCTGAGCCCCTACCACTGCCCGCTGGTTGCCTGTCAGCTGGACATTTTGGCCGCAGTCTGCCATCTCCATTTGCTAATTAATTGTAAATCTTTGTGAACGTGGATCTGAGTGAGTGCAGTCCCTGCCTTGCTGTAAGCCCAGCCGTGTCCAGCCATGGGGACCTCAGGGCTCCTTCAGCCCAGCCGGCGCGTGTGCGGCAGCCCCTGTCCGTGACCCCTGGGATCCTGTGAGGATGTGGGGCGGGGACCGCACTGGGGGCCAGGGCCACAGCAGGAGTTCGGGCAGGAAGCAGTGATGATCCGTGTCTGGTCGTGTCAGACGGTTCCGATTTAAATTTGGGAAAACTGTTCTGAGGTTTGACGATTACAGAGTGACTGTTTGGGGTGCTTGACTGTCTTGGGGACATGTTGCATTGTTCCTGTGGAAAGTCCCTTTTCCCTGTGAAGGAATTGTTAAACACAAAGGCTCCTGTTCCGAGGGCCTGGCCGCCTCTGCACGGGGGCCCGCGCTGACCGTGTCTTGTCTCGCAGGACCGCCGGCCGCTGCCAGGAGCTCCTCCTGCTCTGCTTCTCCAGCTGCCTCATTGGGCGCATCCTGGACGTGGGCGTGGTGAGCGCGGAGGAGGCCCTGATCGCCGTGCGCGAGCCCTTCCTGTGGAAGAAGTCCAAGAGTCCCCCGGCGCCGGCGCCCACGAAAACGACGGTTGTCGTGACCACGCAGAAAAGGTACCATGACGGGAGGGACAGCGGGGTGGCCTGGCGTGCACTCGCGGTGTGACCGCTGGCTGAGGGGAAGCGGTGGGGGGGGGCTCATCCACCCTTGACTTGGGGGATGGTGTGTTCATACAAAACTGTCTGAGGGCGGCCGGGGGGCAGCTCACAGTGCGTATGAGGACGGGGAAGTGGACCTGCTACGCCCCGGCCGCCACTTCACCCCCTCAGGTCCCCGCCACCTCTTGTATTCCCCACAGCCCAGCCTGTCTCCCAAGAAGCAGGCAGTGCTGGCGCATCCTCACCCCCGTCAGGTGCATCTGTGAGCTGACGGCAGCCTGCACCGTGTGGCGCTGTAAAAAACAGGTTTACCCACAGCAGTGGTGGCGACTCCCAATGCCAGCCCCTGTCAGGGGAGGCAGAGCTGGAGGGTGACAGGCGAGAGCGGAGTCAGGCCTGGGCGGAGCAGCCGTCAGCAGCGTGCTCTGCAGCTGTGGCTGCGGTGCCCATGGTCACGCCCTGTCAGGCACAGCAGTCAAGGTGCGGACCCCCTGGTTCCAGGGTCTTGTGCACCGGCCGCCCTGCTGCAGCTGGGAGGATGCCCCCAGTAAATGCTGGGCCCGCTGACGGGGCCGCGGCTGCTGCGTCGTTCCTGTGGTGACCGAGGAACTTGTGCCAGATGTCGTGACGAAGAATCATTTCCAACTGAATTTCTTCCTTAAGGAACTCAAGACGCCAGCTTCCAAGTTTCCTTCCCCAGTACCCCATCCCCGACCGGCTGAAGAAGTGTGTGGAGCAGAAGATTGACATCCTGACTTTCCAGCCGCTGCTCGCCGAGGTAGGAGGCGCCTGTGGCCGCCCATGCTCTCCTGGCTGCAGGATGAAGGGGTGTCTTCTTCTGCCGGAGAAGGGGTGTCGGCCTGAGGCGGCCCCCGTGTGGCGGCTTCCCTGAGGAGCTGGGTCGTTAATGCTCTCCAGCTGTCACTTGATTCGGGGTGAATGGTCTCAGGTTAGGGCCTGAGCCCCAGCCCCTCAGCTGCCAGGCGGGCGCCCCACGGGCTCCTCCCCTTCTCCGTGGCGTCTCGCTGATGTCGGAAGTCTGACTTCTGCGTCTGTTTTCAAGTCCGTGAGGCGTCTTAGCGTTTTACGCTACATAACCAGTTCTCGTTCAGGCGTTTAGAAAGGGGCACCTCGCTGACTTTCCTGGTGCTGTCGGCCCCACGGGGACCCGGCCTCTGGGTGCTCCTGGGTGCTCATTGGCTTCCGTGTCTGGAAAAGTCTGAGGCGGCTGCGCCCCCCGAGCCGTCCTGACGACACAGCTGCTCCGCTGCCTCTGCCTTCACACACAGCCTGGGCTTTCCGGCTGCGTCTGAGATGGCTCTGTCGCCGGGTCTGCGACATTAAAGGACCACGGGCCTTGGTGCCGCTTCCCTCACGGTCCCGGGTTCTTTGCGCTGCTTGGCTGTGTGGCTGATGGCTTCCCTCCCACCCGCCCCTGCGCTCTGCTCCTTGTTCTCTCGCCGCTTCCCCTCTGCGCTGGGTTTCGACAGGTTCAAGTCCACTCGTTTCTCCTGTCTTCTCCGTCTGTGCTTAACGTGCTCAGTCTTCCTCACCTTTTTGAACACGGGTGACGCAGTATAGCCACGGCTCTCACGTCCTGTCTCCTGAGTGGGGCTGGGCGTTTCCTCTCAGGGGCTCAAGTGCCGCCTTCCAGCCGGGAGGGCTCCTGTGGCTGCCAGACATCCTGGATTTTACCTCGTTGAGCTCAGTTCTGGGACCCAGTTGAGTTACTTGGAAAAGCAGGACACTTGCCTGCATTAAAGCTTTGCTAGGTGGAAACAGGTGCATGTGGGGGCTGGTGCCCTCTGACCCTGCCCAGGGCAGTGCAGTGCATGGGCTGCATGGGGCTGGCGGCCACCGTCCTGGCCCTGTGCAAGCTCTGGGAATTGTTCCCTTCAACCGGCCGTTCTCCACAGGCGACAGTTTGCCCCCTGGAGTGTTTTTGGTGTCACAGCGAGGGTGCTGTAGAGGCCGGGAGCGCTGCCAAATACCCTACGATGCACCGGAGGGTCCCTCTCCGACCGCAGTGCCCCCGATGCCCATGCCACCGAGGCTGGGGGCCCTGTCCTGTGAGGTTGCTCCCACACCCTGAGCACTGCCCCTAGGCCCGTGGTCGGCACACTGTGGCTCACGAGCCACATGCGGCTCTTTGGCCCCTTGAGTGTGGCTCTTCCTAAGCCTTAGGAGCACCCTAACTAAGTTAATAACGATGTGCCTGCCTATATAGTTTAAGTTTAAAAAGTTTGGCTCTCGGAAGAAATCTCAATCATTGTCCTGTTGATATTTGGCTCTGCTGACGAAAAATGAGTTTGCCGACCACTGGCCTGGGCCTCCCCGAATCCCCAGCTCCACCTCCTCACCACCCAGGCCACACGGCTCCAGCGCTGTCCCTGTGCCAGGCTCTGCAAACTGTCCAGGTCGCCGTGGGGCGGGGGTGGGGCTCACTGAGACGCCCTGCCTCAGGACCACTGTCCTGCACGGCCTGTGGTCACTGCAGCCCTCACTTCGGTCTGGCACGTCAGCTGCTGTCTCCGGGGCCTGGGGTGCTCCCCGTGCTCTGCGCTCACTGGCTGGCTCGTCGCTTTCAGCTTCTGAACATGTCAAACTACAAGGAGAAGCTGTCCACTCTGCTCTGGCTCGAGGAGATCCACGCGGAGATAGAGCTGAAAGAGTATAACATGAGCGGGGTCGTCTTGAAGAGGAGCGGGGACCTCCTGGTGCTGGAGGTCCCGGGGCTGGCCGAGGGCCGGCCTTCCCTGTACGCAGGTGGGTGTGGCCCCGCCCGGGGGGAGCGGTTTCAACTGGCGCCATGTGGTCCCGTTAGCTCATTTTCTTGGTTTGGGTTAGAATGTCACTTAAAACGTGGTCAGGGACTCAGCACTTGTCTCCTGTCCCTGAGGTCACATGAAGTGGGGGGGCCCTCTGATGTGCTGCCGTGGTCACATGTGGTCCTGTGCTTCTCTAGGTGACAAACTGGTTCTGAAAACGCAGGAGTACAACGGACACGTCGTTGAGTACATCGGCTACGTGGTGAAGGTGAGAGGCTGCGGGCGGGAGGGTCCCCAGGACAGAGCAGGTGCGTCTCTGAGAGTCGGGAGTGGCCTCGCCTTTCCTCGCTTTGCTCTCCTTCTCCAGGTCTGAATGGCCTGTTGGCTTCACGAAAGCCGCCCTGTCGTTTCGGTAGGGTCTTGGCTCCCTTGTTTTTGTCTTCCCGCTCTTCAACTTCCTACCTCGTCTTTTGTGTTTCTGTGAGTGACAGTGTCTGTCTGTGATGTCCTCCAGGCCTGAATCCGCTGCGGCTGTGCTGACCTCACTCCAGGGAACATGCTCCCCATGTCTTGGCCGTCTCTGATCATGACCCATTTTCCTCCTCAGTCTGGGGAACCTGGGCCTTCGCTGGGCGGCCTGCTTCCCTCAGAGGGCCTCTGGGCTCCTGTGGTGATCCCTGCCCTGCCTCCTGACCCTGCCACGCTGCGCCCAGCACCCCCAGGATACGGGGTGTACCAGTTAATGATACAGATTTTCCCAATAGATGAAAATTTATCACATATCCTCCTATATGATAAAGAGCTAATATGCAGATGGTCATCACGCCCTCACACTGTAACGGCTCAGACACGCAACACTGGGGAGAGAGGAATGGGGACCAGCCAGGCGGCGGCCCGGGAGAGGCACAAGTTGCCTACCCTGCAATCCCGGGCGCCTGTGGCCCAAGCGAAGCCACCCACCCACGGTCCCTTGTGACTGCGGCCAGCCCAGGCAAAGCCGGCCCAGGTCCTGGGTGCCTGCGGCCAACCAGAGAAAGGGAAGCACGGGTCCCAGGTGTGGGGCGAGGCAGAGGTGGTTAGGGGCGATCAGGGGAGCAGTTAGGGGTGATCAGGCCGGTAGGGGAGCAGTTAGGTGTGATCAGGCAGGCAGGCAGAAGTAGTTGGGGGCAATCAGGCAGGTGATCGGTTAGGAGCCAGTGGTCCCGGATTGTGAGAGGCAGTCAGACATCCCCCGAGGGGTCCCAGATTGGAGAGAGTGCAGGCCTGGCTGAGGGACCCCTCCCCTGTGCACGAATCTCTTGAACCAGACCTCTAGTGTTGATATATAGGCGATTTTATATGTATGCTATTTTGTCGTATTGACAAACTCAAAAACAACTTGCAGAAAGATGAAGCGTAAAAATATCTGTGATATTAACACCTTCAGGAAATTTGACATCAAGTTTTGAAGCTTGTCAATACGACAAAAGAGCATACGTATCAAATCGCATATATAGCAACGTGAGTGTAACTCCATCTAGTGACAAAAATCCGCATTATTAACCGGCCCACCTAGTAGAGCCCGGCCAGTGGAGGCCTCCCCACACTCCCTGGGCCGCCTCAGGGTCCGGGTCACTCTCTGCAGGATCCGTTTGGCTGGAGGGCCCTCTAGGAGGGGGGGTCCCGGGACAGCCTGGCCCGTGGCTGTGTTCCTGGTGTGCGATCCCCAGAGCCAGGGAGAGGAATGGGGACGCGTGTGTGGGGTGGGCGCCGTGATGGTTGTACACCCGGTGGCCCCTCCGATCTGTGGGGTGTGTCGCCGTGTGCCGCAGAGACAGACGAGGACGTCGCAAGGAATCGGGTACGCAGGATGGAAGTTACACTGTTTGTTTCTCCTTTAGATTCACGAAGAAGATGTGACCCTTAAGCTGAATCCGGAGTTTGAACAAGCGTATAACTTTGAGCCTATGGACGTGGAATTTACATACAACAGGTAACGCTTTCAGCGCCTCCCAGACCCATAGTCCTTCTTGGTGGGGGCGCCTCCTGCCTTGGCCCCTGAGCATCAGTGTTGCAGGAGGAGACGTGGCCGAGGCTGGTGCTGAGGGGCCGCTTCTGCTCCCCCCGTGCCTCAGCTGCCTGCTCTGGGGCCCCTGCCAGTGCATCGCAGTGCTGTGTGTGCGCGCGCATCTCGGTGCCCTGTGTGTGCATGTGTGTGCGCGTGTGCGCACATCTCGGCGCTCTGTGTATGTGTGCGCGTGCGTGTGTGCACGCATCTCGGCGCTCTGTGCATGTGTGCGTGTGTGTGTGTGTGTGCGCGCATCTCGGTGCCCTGTGTGTGCGTGTGCGTGTGTGTCTCGGTGCCCTGAGTGTGCATGTGCGTGTGTGTCTCGGTGCCCTGTGTGAGTTCTCATCACCATGCACCACGTCCGGTACCTGCACAGTTGGTGGAGTACACATTCTTCAGCTAGCCCTTTATCAGGTATGTTTTTTGCAAATATTGTCTTAGATTGTGGCTTGTGTTTTTACTGTTTTTAATGTCTTTCGAGGAGCAGAAAGTTTTAATTTTAAGGAAGTTGATCAGTTTTTTCTTTCATGACTTTGGTGACACACTTCAGAAATGCGCCTCACGCAAGATCACAAACACTCTCCTGTGTTTTCTTCTAAAATGCTGCAGCTTTCAGTTTTAATTGAGGGCCATGGTCTAGTTTGAGTTCATTTTTACCAGTGATGCCAGGTTGGGGACGTGCCTACCCCTCGTCCCAGCACCAGTGTTGTGAGCCCTGCCCTCTCTCCGTGCGTCTCCTGACACCGTCATGAAACCCACTGCCCTGACGTGTGGGGTCTTTCCGCCCCTACCTTGTGTCTAGAGTCGGGTAGGCAAGGCTCCCACTGGGTCCCGTCTTTGCCGAGGGCTCGGGTGTCTGTGTGGATCTCGGAACCGCCTGGGCTTGGGACGGACGCTGTCAAGGTTTGTCTGGGGCAGCGTTGATTCTTCAGTGCTGTCGCTCTCCATCTACATAGGTCTTTTTTCATTTCTTACATAACGTTTTGTACTTTTCACTGTGTATGTTTTACATATTTTTTGTCAAATATGTCCCTGACTCTCTAAGAAACTTTTAATGCTGTTGTAAACAGTAATTTCAGTTTCTAGTTGCTTGGCCCTAGCCAGTGTGGCTCAGTGGATAGAGCATCGGCCTGTGGACTGAAGGGTCCCAGGTTTGATTCTGGTCAAGGGCACATGCCTGGGTTGAAGCTCGATTCCCCATTGGGGGGTGTGCAGGAGGCAGCCAGTCAATGATTCTCTCTCAGCATTGATGTTTCTGGCTTTCTCTTCCTCTCTGAGATCAATAAATAAAATAAAAACAAACAAAAATACATTTCTAGTTGCTTGTAGCTCGGATTTATTATGCAGTTGGTTTTTATATATTAATCTTGTGACCCGTGAGCTTGCTAAACTCAGTGTTTCCAGTGGTTTTTATGGGTTCGATGGGGTTTTCTCTGCATGCAATCGTGTGTTCAAGTAGAGGTGGTTTTCCTCCTTTGTTCTCTGGGTGTCCTTTGTGCTTTTGTTTGCCTTTCCTCACTGCGGGGCTGGAGCTTGGAGACGGTGGGGAAGAGGTGGGGAGGGGCTGTGTGCCCAGCGGGGCCCCTCTGTCCGGCTGAGGCGCTGGGTCCCTTGTTGGCAGAGCTTTAGGCCAGTGGATGAGGGATTCTGCTGGGCTTCCCTGTCTCCGTTGGGTGGACGTGTGGTTGTCCTGTCTGTCTGTCGAGATGGCCAGCTGCGGCGTTGTCGCCTGTCACCTGCCGCAGGCCGACTTGCTGAGACTTTCTTCACTCACTTCTTGTTCCTGAGGCGCGTTGGTCTGTGGTTTCTTGGAGTGTCTTTTTCTGACTTGGGCATCGAGGCAACGCTGGCCTCACATACGCTGGGAAGTGGCACCTCCCGTTCGTCTCCGGAGCAGGTGTGTGGGCCTGGCAGGTGGGCCAGGGAGGCCTCGGGGCCTCGCGCTCTCTGTGGGAAGCTCCCCGACCGTAGATGCCGTCTCTTCCGTGGATAAAGCGCCCGGGCCTCGGCCTCACCTGCCTTCTGAGGACTCTGCGCGTCCCGTCCACGTTGTCTATTTGCACAAGATCATTTTCTTCTTGTATCTGCAGGACCTGACCCGGTGCCCCCTCTCGCTTTGGATCCTGGTTGTTTGTGTCTTCTCGTCCGTCAGTGTGGCGGGAGGATTGTCCGTGTGACCTCCTCGGGGACGGGCTCTGGCTCTTGGTCTCCAGCTCGTTTCCATCTCTGCATTGGCTCTGGTCGCTGCCGTTTCCTGTCTTCTGCTCGCTCGGGACTCCGTCTGCTGCTCTGCTTCTCGGGTGGACGTGGGGGTCCTTGAATCGAGGCCTTTCTCCCTCTGCCTTTTAGGCCTTGCTCTCGGAGGGACGCGGCCACTCCTCTGTTGCTGGACACTTGGTGCCCAGGCTTCTGCTGTCACGGTGAAGCAGTGGACACGCCCATGTCTTCGTGTGACAGTGGGCCAAGGGGCGGGCGGCCTCTCCTCTGTGCCCGGAGACGGCCCCGTTCTCCTCTCCCTGTTCCTGCGATGTGCTGCCTCCCACCCCGCTGCTCATCTGGCCTCGTGCCTCCCTCCTCTGTGCAGACACCTCTAGGTTTTACCCCTGGGCTCTCGCTGTCCTGGACCTGCATGTAGGGAATTGGTCGTCTCTCTTTCAAGCCGCCACAATCATTGCCTTCCTGGCAGGTGTTATTTTTTATTCAGCCTGTCAGTAACTTGAAGCATTTCAACTGGGCGACTTCGTATCCGTAGGACCTGACCCAGTGCCTCCTCTCAGGTCCTACAGGTACACCTTTCTTGTGTGCCCAGAATGAACAACGTGATGTTTTTTATTTTGGTGAATTCTTCCTTCAGTTTAGTGTTTTTCAGGCTGTTGGGATAAAGGGCTGAACTGCAGGTTGATGGGTTACCTCCTTGCTGGTCACTGTCTTGGGTCTCTGAAGAGAGCAGGTGCGGGATCACCCTGCACGCCCGTGTGGGCAGCTCTCACTGGGGGCACAAGCCAGGTCCTCTCTCAGCCCCTCCTCTGTAATCCATCTGCTTTACGGTTTTTGTCCTTCTTAGGGTCAAGTTCCTAAGTCCTAGGACGGTTCTTTTCTGGTGGTTCTCATCTTGGAGTTTATTGTATCCCAGGCAACTCGGTGAAGGTTTTGTTGAAGGGACAGCGTGGGGCTGCCGGGGCCTCGTGCCGGGACCCTCGGGTGCCATTTTTCCTGCTTCACACACCCCCTCCCAGGATTTCGTGCTGTGATGGGTCCTGAAGGTTTCTTCTGCCCTTGGAGCACCCCCCTTGCACCCTGCTGTCCCCCATCAGTTGGTTCTCCAGGTGCCTAGATGTGAACTTGGCGGAGCGTGGGTGTGGCCTAGGTTCTGCGAGGCTGTGGCTCAGCTCCTGGGCCATTGCTGGTTTGAGGCCAGATGTGCTTTGTTGAATATCCTTCATCATCTGTGCTGGAGCTCTGATCATCTTGTTTCCTTGAAGGTAGACTTTTTATTTCTCATTTTTTACTCTTTCTTTTGTGTTAAAAAATAAGATACCAGGCCCCCCAGTGGAGTCGCTGTGTGAGCCCCACGTCACCAGACCAAGACCTGGCTGGCTTACAGCGCCTGCTCCTCCAGGGGTGGAGTGCCTGGTCCATCACGGTCAGCTCTAGTGAGAGGTCTGCCCGGTGGGCCATGCATGTCATGTCCCCTAAAGGAAGTGACCTTTCTGTACCGAGCACTGTATTGCCCAGGACAGTGTCCCTGTTCCCGCCTACGCTGCCTGTAACGGTCTCACCGGTGCTGATCCTCGGAGGAGCCCTCTCTCTGCAGGACTGGATGCTGCCCGGTGCCCGTCAATTGTTGTAAAACTCTTAAAATTGTAATCACCTCAGTTTCCTTTAACAGTTGTTTCCAGTGAATTGCAAGGGGGTAATTCTTTATAATCAGAACTAGAGGCCGATGCATGAAATTTGTGCACTTGCGGGAGAGGGGCATCCCTCAACCCTGCCTGTGCCCTCTTGTAGTCAGGGACCCCGGCTCCTTACCGCCTGCCTGCTTGCTGCTCGTTGCTCCATAGCGCTGCCACCACAGCCGCAGCACTTGCCAGCGGTGAGCCTGGCTTCTGGCTGAGTGGTGCTCCTCTATGGGAGCGCACTGACCACCAGGGGGCAGCTCCTGCATTGAGTGTCTGCCCCCTGGTGGTCAGTGCGCATCATAGTGACCGGTTCCATTGTTGGGTCGATTTGCATATTAGGCTTTTATTATATAGGACTAGAGGCCCAGTGCACAAAAATTTGTGCACTCGGGGGTAGGGGGTCCCTCAGCCCGGCCTGTGCCCTTTTGCAATTTGGGACCCCTCAGGGGTGTCCACTTGCTGGCTTAGGCCTGCTCCCCAGGGGATTGAGCCTAAGATGGCAATCAGACATCCCTCTGGCAGCCCGGCAGCCCTCAGGAGATGCCCACTTGCCAGCGGGGAGCAGGACTAAGCTGCAGTAGGACATCCTTAGCGCTGCTGAGGAGGCAGGAGAGGCTCCCACCACCACCGCTGTACTGGCAGCCATCAGCCTGGCTTGTGGATGAACAGAGCTCCCCCTGGTGATCATTGTGTGTCACAGTGACCAATCATTCCCAGTCTTTCTGCTGTTAGGGTCAGTTTGCATATTACCCTTTTACTATATAGGATAGAGGCCTGGTGCATGGGAGGGAACCAGCTGGTTTGCCCTTCAGGGTGGGGGTCCCCACTGGGGAGCCTGGCCAACCTGAGTGAGGGGCTGATGGCTGTTTTCAGGCTGGCCACACCACCTTAGGGTGGGGGGTCCCCACTGGG